TTTTTTTTTTTTAATAGCATTACAGTGCAAAATTCACAATAAAATTATGAGAACTGGCTACATAGAAACTACTGCTCCCACTTCTGCATCCAGCATTGCAAAAGTGTTGATTAAAAGCTAGACAAATTTCTTCCACTCACCACATTTGGATCATTAAGCAACCCATATATCTTCATATATTGAGAATCATCCAATATTATCTGAAACCTTTTGACTGGCCTGGATTTGTTTCTTTGCTGAAAGAAGAGGGACAAGTACTCCACCCTTTCTTTTAAATAGACTTTAGATGTATCATAGAAGTTACTTGGAACAGGATTCAGGGACAATCAAGAAAGGATTAACTGTAACAAAATCTTTGTGAGGTAAAAACTGGGCAAGCTGATCATTTAAACTCTGTGATGCGTCATTTGCTAGCAGCAAACCAACCTTTCAAAAAACCAGCCTAAATACGTGCCTACCCTAAAGGTGTTGCCTGAGTGTTTCTCCTGGTACTGGAAGATGCCCTGCTGGAAATGCCTCCATGAAGCATTTAAGGAGCCACCAACTCGGACAGAGCAGACGGACGGGTGGACTGCAGACTGGGATTTATTTAGTGAGAGGCGTGAAAATCCAGCAATCCAGCCCAGCATTCCCTGGATTTTGTCTCTGGCACAGGAAGGGTTTGCATGTTTCCCGCTTGTGGCTTCTATTTTAGCCTGTGTTCATTGCTGGGATGCTTGGACACAGCTGTGCTGGTTCATTAACTGCCCAGCATGTCACTCAGCCCAAGCAAATGGCTTTGGGTAGTGTTTTCCAATTACTCAAGGGGAGGGTAGACCTTTCTGTGAGGAAAGGAAGGTGTTGGTCTAGGAGGTATTTGATAACCTCCTGAGATACATTCAAAATGAGGAACAAAGAAGACGACTGAAGCAGGACCAAGAAGGCTGGGACTCCAATGAACATTTCAGGAATAATCCTCAGCCATTAAGAAATGCTAATGAGACATGACCCAAGGCCACGAGGTGATCAATGAACCGGTATCTTCCTTTGTGTTAGAGCCAATATCTGTAATAGAGAGCTCACTGCTCCTGTGGTTTTCCCTGCAGGCTCACAAGTTAACTGTTTTAAGGTACTAACTGGACACCAAGAATGAGGGAAATGGATCTACAATATCCCCACCCTTTTCTGGTCATTACATCCCACTCTCGGTTGAGAGCCATTCACAAAATTAGAGCGTGCTGAAGCCTTGCCCTCAAATGCTTCGGTTTGGAAGGTGCCCTGCCCTGTTCCAGAAGCTGTGTCAGGGACGTGCTGAGCTGTGCAGCTGCTTCCAAAGAAACAGGGTCCACATCCTGCTGCAAGTGAGTCATGCTGAGATCACCCCACTCAGGAAGACACAGAAGGAGCTGTCCCTCTTCCTCCAGGGAGGACTTGTGGCATGGAAGAGCAAAGCAGGTGCTGCGAATGGGGAGGTTTGGGGCTTTTTTATGCAGAAGAAGAGACAGTCCCTAAGGAAGATGTTGTCTGCCAGCCCACTCTATGGCATCCATCACAGTGACAGCCCTTGGCCACGGGCAGTCTAGGAGAAGCATCCCTGGCATGCTGGCACGCCTCTGCTCCTTTCCTGAGCCTGGCTGTAACCCCTGCACTGCCCAGCCACAGGGCAGCCTCCGTGCTTGGGCAGAATTAGGGGCAGTGGATTCTTGGCTTTAAAGGCAGGAAATCCACATGACACCACAACAAGCATGAAGTCCCCATGACTATTGCCATGCTGGTACCAGCCCTATCTCAATAACCAAATGTGGAAGCCACTAAATATTTCCCAAGGCATCTAAAACTAGTTCTAGTTTAAAAATCAGATTAAGGCTTATACAGGCAAGCAAGAAATGAGCCCAGCAGCCCTAAAGCTGTCAGTCCAGCCCCCTGCTGTGGCACAGCATTGCTCAGCACAAGCCATGAGAGGTCTATCATTTATTCACTCATGTCTACATCTCTAGGAATATGTATACTTAAGAAAATAAGGACTCTGTAGGGTTACTTCCCAGCCCATCCCAGTCTGCTTGTCACTGGGTTGTTCGAGCCTTTGCACTGCACTGTTACAGCTCTTCCCAAATGGGATCCTCTACAGTCACTTCCATGCACAGGCACTCACACCTGACTGCACCACACAGGTTGCTGACTCCTTCTCCTCCAGGCAGTCAGTGCTCTTCCAATTGCCCACTGGAAACCCAGCTTGGCCCCAAAACTAAAGAGATTGACAAAAACACATTTTGCTGCTCTTCCTGCAAAACTCTTGAACTCATGAAAGTTGAACACATGAAAGCAATCTGAGGTTAGCATGTAATACAAAAACCACATGAAAGAGATAATTTGGCATTAGACACATGGTACTAGGAGCAGGTTTAAACTAATACGGGTTTTGCATTCAGGTCATAAAATACAGCCCTTCCATTGCCTTGTGAGGTGTCCCTACTCAGCATGCCTTGGTGGCAGAACAGCTAGAAGTGCTTCAATGCTGACACAAGCTGAACACACAAAACATCCTTTTCCTTCACTCTTTTCACCCACTCTGTGAAAGAGACACTCATACCTGCAGGACAGACTCTGAATGGTGACAATCCAGGAGGAATATGGGTCAAAACCATTTTCTGTTCCCATTCCAGACCTACTGAAAGGCCAGACGAGCAATCTTAAAACTGTTGTTTATCTTTGCCATAACATACCTTAAAAACCTGGTCCCAGTGATCCTGTTGGAGCAGGAGCAAGGGAGAGTAGGTTGTCCCCAGCACTGCCTACTGACTGTGGCTCTGGAAAGGAGGGATGAGGGCAGAGATCAGCCTCCAAGCAGCATTAAGGAACCTTTGTGGGATCTCTCTTCTGATCCTGGAAGAAATCACACACAACCTGATGTTAGAAACATCTGTCCATGGTTGACTTATGCAGGATTTAAGCATGTTACCACTGTTTTTACCCAAACCCAAAAAGAACCCAAAGCACTCACTCTCACTTTAGGCCAGAAAAACCCAACAAATTTCAAACAAGATGAAGTGCTGAAAATAGATTTGTGTTACCCCTTTAAAAAGTATGTTGGCAGAGGAACTGGATTTACTTTCAGAGTTACTTTGGTATGAAAGAGCTACACAGCAAAATTCTAAATCCCTTTAGAGAACAGAATGAAATAAAAGCAGATATTTCATCTCTTAACACCTTGTCAGCAAAATTCTCCTTCTTTGGGAGGACTTTTTTTCTTTTGCAAAATTATTGTGCTTGTTTGCCAATGAAGCTTTTCTAAGAACAACATAGCTGCTTTCTCACCCTGCCTCTCCCAACACATCACCACTCCCTTCTGTAGGCCAAGCAGAAAATTCTTTCCCTTGGGGCCTGCAATGAAGCTCATACAAGTTTTTGGGAGAAAGTGCTGCTCTGATGTGGAACCCATATCCCTCTTTCCTCTCTCACCTCCCTTTTAAGTTCCTGACCCTGACTTTCAACTGCTGTTCTAGCTGGAGTCCCAGAAATGAATTTGATTTATTTCTACTGATGTGCTTTAAACAAAAATAAACCTATCAAGGGGCAATAAAAATATTAAGATCAATCAACTCAGAGTTAGGCTGAAAAAAGTTCCTTTGTGACAAATGGCCTGACTTGCCAGTGATGTACTGGCAAACACAATTTAATTGATCTTGTGGTCTGCATTCAACATAGGCTTTTAAAGAAAAATCCAGATGGAAATGGGACTATTAATCAAAACACACTATCACTGAGAAAGGTTCAATAATCACGCTGGGCTAGTAGTAAAGACCACAGAAGAGGACAGTCTATGTCCTATTTTTACCTTTTTATTCACCAGCTGAGAATAGCAAAGGAATCACATACTGACCTTAATTAAGACAGTGATTCATTCTTTCCCTCTGCACACAAATGGAACAGCTTGGAGCTGGAAGGCTGATGTGCAATTTAGAGCTTTTTGGGTGAAGGGGTAATATTTACCATGCAGGGCATCTTTTAAGGGAGAATATAGGGTTCCTGATAGACACATTATCCCAGAGAACACACACTGTTCATCTGTGCATCTGTTTTTCCAGAAACTTAGAGAAATACAAATATGAAAGGTATTGATTTTTGAAAAACTGGAAATCACAAGTTAATTTATCACTTTATTCTGATCCTTATACAAATGGGGCTTTCATCAATCTAATGATATAATATACTTACTTTACAAAAAAAACAAAACCTGCGACATTCAGAAAACTAATTTTTTTTATTTTTCCTCACCTGATTTTCTTGTTCCAGGTGAAATGTTCTTCCAGAGCAGCTCCAGAAAGAATGTTTGCCTTGTAAGAATCAACACAATGTATTTAAATGTTATTTTTGCTTTGACTGATTTTTCACAAAGTTAATTTCAACAGCAATCTTTTACTGACTAAGGAGACCCAATATTGACGGTATATTGAAAAAGGAAATTTTCTTTCTAGGTTTATTATTAGGTTGTTCCAGAGGTTTCCAAGTAATCCAAACCAAACTCACTTTTTTATAAAAGAGAATATATTTTAAAAGATATCTTTCATTATATCTCTACCATTGCTCTGCAAAAGTATCAAATGTAATCATCCCACAACCTATCTTGAATGCCTATCAACTGCTGGAAATGAAAATATTTATATCACTTTACAGACATGATACCAAACAAGGAACTACATCTCTATCTACCACATTGACAAAGAGCTTTAAAGAGAAAAAATGAACAAGAAGTATCCCTTGGAGTTCCTGGGGGATGGGATTTCAAAAGTCCGTCTCTAGACAAGTAATTGAATAACCACACCTGTTCTGATGCCCAAGGAAAGCCAAGGGCCCTGGGCAGGTGTCAGCACGGAGAGCCTGGTACAGGACCACAACCAGCTGTAGGTCCTTGTGCTGGGCTCTCTTCCACAGTCTGGGTAGGGTTAGAAAAAGGGAAGTTTCTCCAATAAAAATTGGGAAAACTGGGAGTACAGAATCAGCTTCAATCATAGCAGAGTCTGGGTCTTAAAAAAAAAAAACTCCTGGAGAAAGCTACATATAGACATGAAAGTAAGCAAAAAATCTCCCTTGAAATAAAACATTTAAGATCAAGGCTTCAGCAAAATTTCCTTGCTTCACATCATCCTGGTGACAATATTTTTCTGTAGGAGGAAGCAAAGTGGCCTCTATTTGTTAAACTCAGAGCTAAGAAATCAAAGCAGCCCAGCAGGGAAGTGGAGAAAACCACAGATCTGGTTTTATTTGAAGAGTTTTGACTGGTCAGAGAGAAACAGGAAGGTAGTATTTCTAAAACATCAATAACCCAAATTTAAGGCTCAGACAGCCTCCAAACTTGAGATTTGATCAAAGAATATTAGAATTCAATCCCAATTCAACAAACACTGAGATGTGCCATGCCCACTTCTGTTTTTAAGGGCTGGGGAAGATTTCAGGCAGACTTCTTTCACACAGGTGGGCAGCAGAAATGCAGAATTTTCACTGTGCCATAGCCAATATGCTTTTTTTTTTTTGCTGCCCAAAAGGAATTCTCTCCACAGAGAGGAAGGCAGGGTAACAACCAAGGCCACAGGACACCACACAGACTTACTGGTAGTCAAAACTGCAAGGTCAGGCAAGGAACATCAGGGGTAGGACCTGGCACCAGAGGGATGGTGGTTCTTTTGTTCCCTGCTCTCCTGTGTCCATTTCACAAATGTTGGTGGATCCTTTTGCCAGATCATGACTTCAAGCCTTTGAGGAAAGGAACCTGACTGACTGTTCATTTAAAACCTCCTGCCTTGCCCCCCTGCCAAAAGCTTTGTGCTGATATGGAAATTGTAAACATGGAGACATGGTTTTAAAATTAATATTAGTCCCAAAGCTTTTCGTATGCTCAAACAAAATCTCACACACAAATTCTTCCATAAATTCTTGCTTTTTCTATGCAATCCTACAGTGAGACTGAAGAATGGGGTTTAGCATCAGATAGCAGAATTAGTCTGTTGAAGGATTTTGTGTCTCTAGATCACAGTTTGGAGTGAGAACTCCAATCTGTAAATTAACAGAGCCATAGGGCAGCCATGGTCACGTAGGTCTGACTTCTGAAAGGATGCCAGCAACAAGACTGCTCTGAATGAATATCCTGCATGAACCTGAGTGGAACTGATGGGAAAAGCATCCAATCTCTACTGCAAATGATGGAATAAATCATAGCTCTGACTTTTGCTCCAAGAGCAGTTTCTTCTCTTAAATGTTGAAGACTTATACGCAGTATGAACTTGTCCAACTTCTAACTACTTATTCTTACTACACTATTGCCCAAAGGAGCTTCTGCTTCTGAATTTCTCTTCCTTATATAGCATACTTGAGAACCAGACTTCTCTTGACTTCTCATTTGGTAATCTAAAGGGATGGACTGCACTAAAAGGCATTTGCCAATCCTCCAGTCATTCTTGTGGCTTCTCTCTGAAAGATCGCCAGGTTTTCAACATCCTTCTTTATTTGTGGGTACCACAGCTGGATGGAGTGCTCCCTAAGCAGCTGCACCAGTGCCAAACACAGCAGTAAAGCAATCTCTGAGTATAGAGACAGGGAATATCAAGCAGGCATTAGAAAAGCTCCAAGGATTGCTTTAGATCCTTTGGCCACAGCACTGAAATGAGAGATGACACTCAGCCAATTATGCACTCAAGTCCTCAGTCACTTTCCAGATTGCTGTTTCTCAGCACAGTCTATTCCATCTGGTACATAGATCTCAGATTTTTCATTTCCTTTACCTGTAGGATCCTGAAAAGAGAAATTATTTGCTATTTCCATTCTACCAAAGGATCCAAGCCATGCTAAACTGGTCCTTCTGTCTTCTGCTAACACCAGCAGAGTGGAGTTCACCCCTTACAGTCACGCTATTAAGCAACTCAGTGCAACAAATGGGTCCTACTGGGAACACAACTATTTGATGTATACTTTAAACCTCTTTATAAATCCCACTTTGAAATTTATGACTGAAACAGAATCTATCTGTTCTTTCTTATTTGGTACTATTTAAGTTTATGAAAGAATATGTATGGGAGCAAGTTTAAGGCATACAGGAAGTTCTTTCATCAACATGAGTGTAACAATCAACCAGATAGATTTCTTTTTTTTTAACTCCAACCAAAGCTGACCATAATTAATTTCCAAAAAACAGTACTAGATGTCTCTTCATGTGGTACACTGCTTCAGTATGTTATTCCTTATGTATTCCTTGCATATCCTTGAATTAATATTAATGTTAATTATTAATGATCATAGCAATCTATTTAAAATATTGATCTAAATTTAGATTTCTTTAGCCTCTAGAACTTCCCCAGTGTTTCTTATCAGAAATCAAAATAAAGATCTAGGGAGCTCTTTGCTCTTTGCTTTGTACCTCTAGGATCTGGAGTTAGAAAAACCCAGTGAGAATTGCATATGTAACTTTAAAACCTGATTAATATACTCCCAAGTACCAATGAAGTGAAAAATATTCCATTATCCAGAGAAAACATTAATCTTCTGTTTATTCATAAGATATAAAAAAAGTTCTTTTTGTGCCACTATTATCAATTCTATCACAACCAGTCAGCCAATTTAACTCCTATGGATTATTTAGTTTAAATTATATTATCTTCTTTATCTGATTCTCCAAGTAAGAATGTCCTAATCAAACCTTCCTTGAGGCACCAGCATTGAAGTCTAATTGGGCACTGGTGTGCCAAAGTAGCAGAAGCAGTTTTCACACTTATGAAAACAAGGAATCCAAGCATCCCGAAAAAGATCTGGTGCACAGCATTTTTCAG